GTACATTCTGTGAATAATCTTACAAATCATTTTGTCGGATGAATAAATGACCAAAATAAAAGTTATAGATATTAATGAGTTACACCAATTTGTTATTGACGACTTTTTCAGTTGAAATCATTTAGTATCTGAAAATGTTGTTTGAAGTTGTTATAATTTGAAATTCAAATTCAGACTGTTCAAACAAAGTCATATAGAAAAATGACCAATATAAAAGTTGTAGATCTTGATAAGTTATACAACTTTGTTTTTGATAACTTTTCCATTTGAAATCATTTACTACCTAAAAAACTATTTGAATTTCTTATATTTTAAAATTCAAATTTTATATAGTTCAATCAAACTCGGATGGAGAAATGACCAAAAGAAAATTGGTAGATCTCAACGACTTCTACAACTTTATTTTTGGCAACTTTTTCATATGAGTTTATTTAAGACCATAAAATTTGATTCGAAGTTCTCACATTTTTAATTAATTTTTTAATGATTATTTTTACATGCAGACCACTTAAGGAGATTTTTGCATGCGGCTCCTTAAGTGGTCCACATGCAAAAATATCAATAGTTTTTTCAGTTTTTTCCCTCCTCACCACTTCAAAAATTTTCATCTCCCCTCCTCTCCTCTCTCTCTCTGTCTCCTCTCTCTGATATCCTCACCCCTCTCTTTTTCTTTCTCTTCCTCTCTCACTCTCTTTCTCTTCCCCTCTCTCTTTCTCTCCTTTGCGCGTGGCCAACGAGGGGGCGCCGAGCAGCGGGCGGTAGGCGGCGTCGAGCAGCGGGAGACGGGCGGCGGCGGCTCGGCTTCCTCGGCTCGGCGGCCGACAACGACGACGGCCGCGGTGGGAGCGGCGACGGCGGGCGGCGGGAGCGGCTACGGCGGCGGCGGCAGCTCGGCGGCCGACAACGACGACGGCCGCGGCGGGGGCGACGGATCCGATGCCGCCGCCGACGGATCCAGCACCGGTGACGACGATGGGTGGCGGGGGCGACGGATCCACCGCCGACGACGACGGCCGCGGTGGGAGCAGCGACGGTGGGCGGCGGGAGCGGCTATGGCGGCGGCGGGCTCGCAGCGGGGTCGCGGCGGTGGCTTGGCAACCTCGGCTCGGCGGCCGACAACGACGACGGCCGCGGCGGGGGCGACAGATCCGATGCCGCCGCCGACGGATCCGGCACCGGCGACGATGATGGGTGGCGGGGGCGATGGATCCGCCGCCGGCGACGACGCTAGGCGACGGGGGCGACGGATCTGCCGCCGATGACGACGCCGAGCGGTGGGGGTGACGGATCCGGTGCCGCCGCTGACGGATCCGGCGCCGGCGACGGCGGGGGGTGGCGGGAGCGATGGATCCGCCGCCGGCGACGGCGTGCGGCGTGGATGCGGCGCTCCGGTGGCGGGCTAGGGTTTGGTTTAGGGTTTTTTCGATTTTTTTTGTTTGCTTAATTTATTTTCGCATGCGGCCGGTATAAGCAACCGCATGCGAAAATAGGATTTTCACATGCGGTTGCGCCGGCCGCATGCAAAAAGGGTGATTTTTACAGACGATTTACCGCATGGAAAGATGGTTCTCAGCCGTATGGAAAAAACATATCTGTAGTAGTGTATGTAACGTGATACTATGATAGACGTGGCTATTAAATACGAATCAGGATCTGTCCTATAACTGAAAACCTACAGGGAAATGCGATTAAACCCTGTCAGAAATTATTTCTGTCGTTGCTTTCAGGCCTGACTGAAAAAAAACATGAATAGATCCTTTTTTGGTTGCGGCTGGGTGTTCTCCAGAGTGATCGATATGCACCGTATGGACTTGCCCAACATCTAATTAGTTGGGCCTTGTCGTCTTCTCGAACCTTGAGTTGGGCTCTCACAGGTAAGTTTGAATTGGGCCGCTAACAGGCATCCCATATCAACAAAATGCTACCAAGCCAGCTGGTATAAAACAGACGAACGTACGAGCATGAAATATTCGAATATAATTTGCGTACTTTAGTTAATCGATCAAATTAATTAATTAACCTGTAATGTCCTGTATCCTTTCCTATCTAGTACATGCATATTTCTCTTGACCACTTCCTTGAGTTGATTGCATTTACTATAGCTAGCTTAATTAAAAGGCACAAATTAATCACCAAAAAGAGCAAGACATAAATAATGCTAACGTGTACGTGAAACCTACCCACACCCTCGCAAAACAGAAATTAATTAAATTGTTAACGTGTACACGTACGCGTGCTTACGCGTGTCTACACACTTGCATTACGTAAGATCATATATCGATCATGACGTGGCAGATCACACGTAAACATTCAAGTAGTTCGATCGCCTGCCGTCAACGATTTTCCGTTGGTACACGATATAATCGATGGAGTAGCTTGTTCCATATCAGCTTTATTACTTCTACTGTCTCCATTTTGTATGGCAAGTAAAACTTACTCCTATTTAAATTTACATGAAAAATACGCCAATTAAATGGACTATTAATGTGATATAACTTTTTATTCAACAAAACTAATTTAATGTTACATATGTTTATTTATTTTTTAAAACTCAGTTGGCTAAGATTAGATAAGTTCAACTTAGAAAAAATATAAAAATAACTTATAAGCGAAGTGAGCGTAGTTTAACTAGTTAAATTCTTTGTGGTGAAAACCAGTTGCCCACCCGGATTTAAGTTTGTATTTAATGCTAATTATTCAATTTTAAAATATATCAACCCAGTCTTTTGAAGATGCTCATATGGGTAGGAAGGTAAGGTGAGTGTACGTGTCATGAGCGCTTGTGTTTTTACTATGTTTCTCAAATAAAAAATTTTACAATGATAACAATTCGGCCTAGGTGGGGTTGGCCGAGGCCTAACAAATTAAGGTTGCCCGGACCCAACAGTTTTTAGCCACACCCACTCAAGGAAAGGCCCAATCTCCCTAAAAAACTAGTCCAATAGGGAAAGGGTGTCCAATAGGGGAAGGGTGGCTCTCCCTTTTAAGGCCCAATCTCCCTAAAAGACTAGTCCAATAGGGTAAGAGTGGCTCTCCTTTTTAAGGTGGCTTCCTCCTCCCAAGCTAAGTAAGGTGGGATTATTCAGAGGCTCACACGGTCGCCGCCCGACTTTAGCGTCTCTGCCAGCGGGTAATAGTAGAGAATGTCCTCATCATACAATATGAGAAAAATGGATTATTACTTAATTAATTAACAAACGCTAGAAATCACAACGTACTCGATAGAATAAAAAAAAATATGTGTTAGGACATGAGGCATATCATACCATCGAGTACGTGTATATACTTTTGTGCATGCATCCGTTAACCTATGCGTGTATGTGTAGTCGTATATGTTTCAGCTTAAGAACTATGCATAGCGATACATATAATATATGGACGCGTGAGTTCTTTTTTTCTACGTTAAATTGATCAGCACTCATGCCGACTTATCAGCCGAGACTGTTGAACTAGTGGTCTCTCTTATAGTACAGTTCGTGTTTACTATTGCAAACTCCACTAATTACGGTTGACTGCTGAATTAGCCGCCTCTCTTAATTATAAAAATATCTGGTAAATAATTCCAAGTAGCTATTCTTAATAGTCTCTGGTGCCTCTGGAAAAAAAATATTGTACGTATGTGTGGAATAATAAGTTCGGCCAATTTGTTGTGCTCTGCTCTACCGTTGATTATTTCCAATGTACTGTACATGTACTACGTACGTACAATACCTAGTAGCGTTCGTTACGACGCATATATATACGCATGTGTCTTGAATTCTTGATGTATTATTGACCCGGTAGTTGACTCCAAATTAAAGCTAGGGAAACTTAATTTTCCTTTAGTTGAAAGGCGCGTCGTACACACGTGTATATCACGTGAACCTTCTTGGAGACCGATGGTAAATTATTCTTGACTCATTACTAGAGTTATATTATATTAATTAATTATAATTGGAATTAAATTAAACCCGTGTGTGTGTAATTGTGTGGACAACATGAGAGGATTATAATCCAGTGGGTAAAGTAATATACTCTCAATTGATTGATTCTGTAGCTATATTTATACGTACGTATATACTCCCTTCATCCAGTATTAAACATTTAACGTTGGGTTAGTTCATTAAATTAAAAAAAGAGCCGGCTGCGAAAGCTACGTAATACTAGTCGTACGTGTCGTGAAAGCTTTTGTGCAGGTAATGTTAGTCGTCATCTCAGCGATCGATGCATACTAATTACTTTAATCAATTATATATAATAATAATATAATCACAAATCCAATTAAGCAAGTCCAAATTGGCAAGGATCGATAACCTCAATCAAAATATTAACAACACGTAGGACAAGATTATATCATCTATATACATAGATTATTCTAAAATAATCCAGACAATATGCGTGTCAAAATGATATAGTTACCTTTGTTTGAATTTCTCCACCGGCCAGAGAGTTTTCTTCCACAGGATCAGCATCTAGTGCTACTCCATCTTCATTAGTATATTCTTCCACAAACTGATCCTAATGTACTATTATCTCACAGGCAATGGATGCATCGATCGATCAACTTGTAGTTTGGTTGGTCATTCACGCATAATATATACGTACGTCATATCCAAACACGGATCGAACTCCCGTGATTATTAACGAGATAATTAATTAATTATTTAATTAATTAATTAATCTTCTTGAACCGGAGCTAAGCTAGGTAAGCTATATATTGGCTCTGTTCATGCACTCACGTAGCCACATGAACGATGAAGCAACCTCTTCAACTTTTCAAATTATATATATATATATATTCCCCCATTGCAATACTCCATGGACAAGTGTAAGTAATTAATTATATATTGCCATTTTAATCCAATATAATCCTGTCGATGGCGTGCATGGAAATTCTCTGCTCCTGCCAAACCCATTGGAGAAAAAATACAGATATTCTTGTACCAGCAACAGTTTACTATTCCATTATGGCTTGCACAAGTCATCGCTCCATCACTATAAATACATGGCATATGTATAGCAAAATCTAATCACACAACCATACTAGCTAGTGATCTCTCGATCTCCATCATCTCTTCGTCTACTAACAAAGTTATAATATCAAATTAAGGTATATATATATATATATAGTAGCTAGCTTCAATTAATGGCGAGTTCGTCGAGCAGGTTATCCTGCTGCTTGCTGGTGCTCGCGGCGGCGGCCATGGCGGCGACGGCGCAGAACTCGGCGCAGGACTTCGTGGACCCGCACAACGCGGCGAGGGCCGACGTCGGGGTGGGGCCGGTGAGCTGGGACGACACGGTGGCGGCGTACGCGGAGAGCTACGCGGCGCAGCGGCAGGGCGACTGCAAGCTGGAGCACTCGGACTCCGGCGGGAAGTACGGCGAGAACATCTTCTGGGGCTCCGCCGGCGGCGACTGGACGGCGGCGAGCGCCGTGTCGGCGTGGGTGTCGGAGAAGCAGTGGTACGACCACGGCAGCAACAGCTGCTCGGCGCCGGAGGGGAGCTCGTGCGGGCACTACACGCAGGTGGTGTGGCGCGACTCGACGGCGATCGGCTGCGCCCGCGTCGTCTGCGACGGCGACCTCGGCGTCTTCATCACCTGCAACTACTCGCCGCCGGGCAACTTCGTCGGCCAATCTCCCTACTGATTAATTAATTAATTATATTATCACACTCACTAATTAATCATATCGTATGCTATGCTACGTGTTTATGCATGTATGGACATGTAGTGTCATATGGTATATCGTATATGTGTACGTATAATATACGTACGTATGCTGGTGAGAATAAATCCGATGAATAAATAAATAAAGCTGTACTGTCAGCCGTATTTGCTTAGTGTATATACCGTGTATGCATTTACACTTTAGCTGTCCTTCGTGGTTACATGCATGGTCTGATGGTCATGTACATATATAGCTGGTTTTTGCTGGTTAATTAATTTGTCCTTAATTTTGAGTTTATGGGGTTTGTACGTACTGGTTAATTTATCAAGCCCCGAATATGGAGATTACTCCCTCTGTTTTCTAAATATTTGGCGCCGTTGATTTTTTTTAAATATGTTTGACCGTTCATCTTATTCAAAAAATTAAAGTAATTATTAATTATTTTCCTATCATTTAATTCATTATCAAATATACTTATATGTATACATATAGTTTTACATATTTCACAAAATTTTTTAAATAAGATGAACAGTTAAACATTTACTAAAAAGTCAACGGTATCAAATAATTAGAAACAGAAGGAGTACTATATTAGATATAGTCAACATTAATTGTGGACGCTGAGAGAGAAATATATATTTGGCTCAAAGAAAATTTTGTGGAGGAATACACATGCGGGTCGATGTTGCACGTATCGATAGTTCCAAGCTGAAAACAATTATTGCCAGGGTAATTTACTAACACATATAAAACTCAGTTAAAGTTAGAAAAGTTTGATTTAGTACAAATTAAGCTAAAATAACTTACAATGGAACAGAGTTAGTACTAGTATTTATTCAGCAAACGGTGCATGTTACCGTTCCGACTTACACTCTCATCCTCTTTAAGTAATTTACGATGTTAAAACATCAATAATTCGAAGAAATTATGGTTAGACACACTTAACCTATCTAAACTCTCTGCGCCAAAAGGTAAAAGGTGTGCATGGCGGAGAGAGATAACACGTGTAAATTTTGGAATAGGATTGGTGGAAATTATTTAATTAGTTTCATTAATTTTATTAGTACTATGAGATTGTTAGGACCTTTTATCTCACATTGAATCAAAATCGCAACAATATCTAGTACAGCTCAAAAGGTATTTGGAGGAATTGTCGAAGTGGAAGCTAAGATACATACTTCTAGAAAGTTCCATGTGAAGAAGCAGAGCCGACGAGGACATAGAGCATATATAGTAAAACGATGATTTTTAAAATTCCTGATCGGTGGGAAGTTATACTTCGAGGTATTAATTTCTAATGTAAATTTTGATACACTTAAGTATTTTAGTTATCGAAAAATATCAAAATTTAAATCATAAAATTTAGTAGCTCTCAAGTACCATAAAATTTCTTCAGTAAATTAAAGAAGACGAAGCATCAAGGACGAAGCTATCATTTTTCCAATGTGTCGTTCAATAATCCTGCAAGTGCAGCAGTTGCTGCTTTTTGCAATGTTGTCTTTTGGGCTTGCTTAATTGGGCCCAGACTTGGAGAGTAATTAACCCAGCTAACCACGGTCCAGCCCAATCGAGTTTCCGATAGAGATGCCTTTTGTTAATTTACTGGTGACGATCATTTAAGAAAGAATATTACAGCCCCAACGGCAATATTTGCAAACGAAAATAATTTTTAATAAAATTTTTATATATGTGTTATTAGTGATCCAAAAGCAAATAAACTATGATAAAAAAACCTTAAAATCAACTTCAAATTTAAAGTTGAAATTTTGAAATTTTAGCTGATAAGCGTAAGTATAAGCGAAAAGATGAGGCCGTTAGAGAACATCTGGTCTTCGCAACTATTTGGCATAGTTGAAAAACATAAAATGAGCTAAATACTATCCTTACAGTATCTGTATGTATATGTATGTATATAGAGTAATTTTACAGTTATTAAGTAGGTATCATAAAATACCACATTTTATATTATAAATTTGATATATCTTAATAGTTATAGGTACTGTACCAAATTTTACACTAAATTTTTAATATATCATGGTACCTCCTGAATAACGTACCGTAAAATTGCTCATCTCAGCTCATGTATGTATGTACGTACGTACTTACGTCATGCAGAGACTGATCACTAATTAAGTCGTACGTCTTTGGGAAATTACCCGGCATGATCGATGGATCAATCATCAAGGTGACTTCATGTAATGGTAGTAGTCACATCTCGGCCGGTCAGCGTCGCGTAGAATTTATAGATCAAAACTACACCAAATTGACAAGTGTAACCTCAAAGATTCGATCGCAACACACATAAGACAAAGATTGCTTATCTGTGAACGATGAATTAATTGACTAGCCCATCAATTATGTTATCACTACCTGCTAGCTTCGGCTTAATTCCACAACATCGAGCCCCCTAGGTTACTCTAATAAGTTAAATTTTAAATTTTCAAGTTAATTTTAAGATATTTTTAACGTAATTTCTTTTTAGCATTAGATTTTAGTCGTCAAAAACATATATAAAAATTTTACCTATAAATTATTATTTTTATTTCTAATAAGCCAAAATAATTTATTAGGGAATATGAGCAACCGATGAGACCGATTGTCAAACGGTTTAGCTATAGATACTACTTCCTCTATTTCACGAAATCTATCTATTTTTGCTAGAATAATTCTCCAATATGTCAATTCACATAAATGGGTATACATATTAATCATCGATATCATGTTAGTTGGTCTAAAATAAAGAGATCAATTAGAGTTGTATCAGAGCCCAAACATATTATAAAAACGTGGATTTATATACTTGTTGTTGTGACTGATATATTGGCAGACTAGATTAGGTTTTTCTCCCCATACTTCATATGATGAGGATATCACTAGTTCGGATATAGCCATGGCTATATTAATCAAGCAAAGGTGCATGTTTTTTTTATGTGAGATTTACGTGTTATATATTTGAACAAATATTACTGTACTATAAGTTTTATGTGTTCTCGTTTGTAAAGGTACTTGCTTGGATGGTAAAAAGGGGAGCGGGCATATGGAGTGCTCAGATGATCAATGAACTTGATTGGGTACCAACCAATATCATTCCCCAAGTATACTCCAATATTACTACATCACTTTTGGTCCATACAAGGCAAGATATGAATTTTTACACGTTTTGGTTTTGATACGGACCTCCTGACAACATCAACTTCCAACGGACTTAGCCGTTGATCTAGAAGGAATCTAGGGGCCCTTGAGTACTTGCTGAAAAGCTTATTGAGTTTACAGATGGTTTTGGTCATACATCAAAATTCCTCCTCAGCTGTTGGGAATATGCAAAACAAGCCACGTGCATCATCCAGTCCGAGTCTGATTTGAGCCTTGAACTTTGCAATTTGTAATTGTGTCGTGGGCTAAACTCAAAGGCCTGGCGCCCTAGGGCAACCCTAGGACGTCTCTAATCATATTTATTCAGTTTACAGTTGGGTTTTGGTTAGATTATTTCTGCCATCGTAGTTTCACCACTAGTTCGGTTTGTAGAACCCCCCAACCTCGAGTGCTTAATTATTCGTCTGCAATAGAGTTGTTATCTACCTTGTTCTTGCTTGTGTTATTCGATTCGTATGTAGGGATTAGCCTTCTCAGTAAGGTCAATCGGGTAGCACACGGTTGATAACTAGACGAGACGTGGTGCTGCAATTGCAAGGTTCGGATCGTGTTGATCGGTAACCGGATCGTGTGTGTCATGTTTTCACCAAATCGAGAGTTACCTTTACCTATCGGAAGATCGGGACCTAGTTACTCATCAGTTGGTATCAGAGTGTCAGATTGCCCGTTAGGTAATTTATCTACCCATAACTAGAAAATTGCCACACAAAAAATTAAATTGAGAGTTATCAATACCTATTGGAAAATCAGGACCTAGTTCCTCATCAGTGTTGGAATTAATGAATGGGCCTTAGCCCACTCGAAGATTAATTCTTTGAAAAATCACAAAAGCCCACCTCATGGGAAGGCATGCATGTGGAGTTTAGTACCACCTTGCTTATTCTAGGAGAGGGGGACCTCCTTAAAAGGGAGGATGCCCTCCTAGCCACTTGAAGCATGTGTGGTGGAGAGAAGAGGGGAAACACACGCGCGCGCTCGCTCGCCTCGCCTCGCCGGGCCGGGCCGGGCCGGGCAGGCGGCGCGCGTGCACGACGTACGCGTCGAATGGTCCGAAAAATTGGCTCCTCACCCTTGCGATTCGGATTCGTTTTTGTTTTGGAAACGTTCCGAAAAATCCGGTGCGTGCAAACGGCGTGGAGTCCGGATAAGTTACACGCGACTTATCCGGTTCGGTTATGCGCAGTAGAGATCGTGCGGGCGCCCTGATCAAGCGACCCTTCTCTATATAAACCGACCTTCCGTCTTCACGCAACATATGCGATATCAATCTAGGGTTTGCCTCCTACTCTGTACTGCGCCGTCGCTCGTAGACTACTCCATCCCGCTCGCCGGCGTGCACCGGCGATCGGGAGAGCAGGTCTCCGGAACCTCTGTCTTCGACGTCCTGCACCGGGAGAAGGCGGCAATAAGCTTTTTGGGAAGCGCTTCGCGCGACTGCTCCCTGTTTGTTCGCGACGGCTCGTCTTCCTCTTCGCTCGCGTGTTTCGTGCCTTCGTAGACACCTGCGAAAAGTTTCGACCAAGCAGCCGGTCTTTCCGTCACCTCGGTACGTGTTCAATATGTTGCGCATATTTGATCTTTTCATGTTATACTGTGTAGTTTACATGTCTAGATCTAATGATGCGTTCATGCTAGTTTTCATCTGTAATGTTATGATTTATTTATGGAATAGATTAAATCATTATACCTTATTGTAGGCACTGTGATTTTACTATGGCTGGTTTTGCCGATGCACTGAGGCCGGATAAATTCACCGGTGTGCATTTTAAGAGATGGCAGATCAGGGTCACTCTGTGGCTGACAGCTATGAAATGCTTCTGGGTGAGTACTGGCAAACCTGAAGGAGTTCTTACTGCTGAACAGCAGAAGCAATTCGAGGAAGCCACTACTCTCTTTGTGGGATGCATTCTTAGCGTTCTTGGCGATCGTCTGGTCGAGGTGTATATGCATATGACCGACGCTAAGGAGTTGTGGGATGCACTGAATACTAAATTCGGTGCTACTGATGCTAGCAATGATTTATATATCATGGAGCAGTTTCATGACTACAAGATGGCTGACAACCGTTCTGTAGTCGAACAGGCTCATGAGATACAAACCATGGCTAAGGAACTCGAACTCCTTAAGTGTGTC